AATTGTTACTGAGGGCCACAGAATTGTTACTCAGGGACACACAGAATTGTTACTGAGGGACACAGAATTGTTACTGAGGGCCACAGAATTGTTACTTAGGGCCACAGAATTGTTACTCAGGGACACAGAATTGTTACTGAGGGCCACAGAACGTTACTTAGGGCCACAGAATTGTTACTGAGGGCCACAGACATTGTTACTTCAGGGCCACAGAATTGTTACTGAGGGACACAGAATTGTTACTGAGGGCCACAGAACCGTTACTTAGGGCCACAGAATTGTTACTCAGGGACAGACACAGAATTGTTACTGAGGGCCACAGAATTGTTACTCAGGGACCACAGAACGTTACTTAGGGCCACAGAATTGTTACTCAGGGGGACAGAATTGTTACACAGAATTGTTACTGAGGGCCACAGAATTGTTACTGAGGGCCACAGAAACCGTTACTTAGGGCCACAGAAACGTTACTCAGGGACACAGAATTGTTACTGAGGGCCACAGAATTGTTACTTAGGGCCACAGAATTGTTACTCAGGGGACACAGAATTGTTACTCAGGGACAGACACAGAATTGTTACTGAGGGACACAGAATTGTTACTGAGGGCCACAGAATTGTTACTGAGGGCCACAGAATTGTTACTGAGGGACACAGAATTGTTACTGAGGGCCACAGAACCGTTACTTAGGGCCACAGAATTGTTACTGAGGGCCACAGAATTGTTACTTAGGGACACAGAATTGTTACTAGGGACAGACACAGAATTGTTACTGAGGGACACAGAATTGTTACTGAGGGCCACAGAACCTGTTACTTAGGGCCACAGAATTGTTACTCAGGGACACAGAATTGTTACTGAGGGCCACACAGAACCGTTACTTAGGGCCACAGAATTGTTACTCAGGGACACAGAATTGTTACTGAGGGCCACAGAATTGTTACTGAGGGCCACAGAACCGTTACTTAGGGCCACAGAATTGTTTACAGGGACACAGAATTGTTACTGAGGGCCACAGAATTGTTACTTAGGGCCACAGAAACGTTACTTAGGGCCACAGAATTGTTACTGAGGGACAGACACAGAATTGTTACTGAGGGCCACAGAATTGTTACTGAGGGCCACAGAACCGTTACTTAGGGCCACAGAATTGTTACTCAGGGACACAGGGAATTGTTACTGAGGGCCACAGAACTGTTACTTAGGGCCACAGAATTGTTACTCAGGGACACAGAATTGTTACTTAGGGCCACAGAATTGTTACTCAGGGACAGACACAGAATTGTTACTGAGGGACACAGATTGTTACTGAGGGCCACAGAATTGTTACTGAGGGCCACAGAATTGTTACTTAGGGCACACAGAATTGTTACTCAGGGCCACAGAATTGTTACTTAGGGCCACAGAATTGTTACTCAGGGACAGACACAGAATTGTTACTGAGGGACACAGAATTGTTACTGAGGGCCACAGAAACGTTACTTAGGGCCACAGAATTGTTACTCAGGGGACACAGAATTGTTACTGAGGGACACAGAATTGTTACTGAGGGCCACAGAAACCGTTACTTAGGGCCACAGAATTGTTACTCAGGGACAGACACAGAATTGTTACTGAGGGACACAGAATTGTTACTCAGGGCCACAGAATTGTTACTAGGGACAGACACAGAATTGTTACTCAGGGACAGACACAGAATTGTTACTGAGGGACACAGAATTGTTACTGAGGGCCACAGAATTGTTACTTAGGGGCACACACAGAATTGTTACTCAGGGGACACAGAATTGTTACTGAGGGCCACAGAACCGTTACTTAGGGCCACAGAATTGTTATCAGGGACAGACACAGAATTGTTACTCAGGGACACAGAATTGTTACTCAGGGACAGACACAGAATTGTTACTGAGGGACACAGAATTGTTACTGAGGGACACAGAACCGTTACTTAGGGCCACAGAATTGTTACTCAGGGACACAGAATTGTTACTGAGGGCCACAGAAACCGTTACTTAGGGCCACAGAATTGTTACTTAGGGACAGACACAGAATTGTTACTGAGGGACACAGAATTGTTACTGAGGGCCACAGAAACCGTTACTTAGGGCCACAGAAACGTTACTCAGGGACACAGAATTGTTACTGAGACACACAGAATTGTTACTTAGGGCCACAGAATTGTTACTCAGGGGACACAGAATTGTTACTGAGGGACACAGAATTGTTACTGAGGGACACAGAATTGTTACTGAGGGCCACAGAATTGTTACTTAGGGGACACAGAATTGTTACTCAGGGACACAGAATTGTTACTGAGGGCCACAGAATTGTTACTTAGGGCCACAGAAACGTTAGTTAGGGCCACAGAATTGTTACTCAGGGACAGACACAGAATTGTTATTGAGGGTTACTGAGGGCCACAGAATTGTTACTGAGGGCCACAGAAATTGTTACTTAGGGACACAGAATTGTTACTCAGGGACACAGAATTGTTACTGAGGGGCCACAGAATTGTTACTTAGGGCCACAGAATTGTTACTCAGGGACACAGAATTGTTACTTAGGGCCACAGAACGTTACAGGGAACAGAATTGTTACTCAGGAGGGACACAGAATTGTTACTGAGGGACACAGAATTGTTACTGAGGGCCACAGAACCGTTACTTAGGGCCACAGAATTGTTATTCAGGGACACAGAATCGTTACTTAGGGCCACAGAATTGTTACTCAGGGACAGACACAGAATTGTTACTGAGGGACACAGAATTGTTACTGAGGGGCCACAGAAACGTTACTTAGGGCCACAGAATTGTTACTTAGGGACACAGAATTGTTACTGAGGGCCACAGAACCGTTACTTAGGGCCACAGAATTGTTATCAGGGGACACAGAATTGTTACAGGGACACAGAATTGTTACTGAGGGACACAGAATTGTTACTCAGGGCCACAGAATTGTTACTCAGGGACAGACACAGAATTGTTACTCAGGGACAGACACAGAATTGTTACTGAGGGACACAGAATTGTTACTGAGGGCCACAGAACCGTTACTTAGGGCCACAGAATTGTTACTCAGGGACACAGAATTGTTACTGAGGGCCACAGAACCGTTACTTAGGGCCACAGAATTGTTACTCAGGGACAGAATTGTTACACAGGGACACAGAATTGTTACTGAGGGACACAGAATTGTTTACTCAGGGCCACAGAATTGTTACTCAGGGACAGACACAGAATTGTTACTCAGGGACACAGAATTGTTACTCAGGGACAGACACAGAATTGTTACTCAGGGACACAGAAATTGTTACTCAGGGCCACAGAATTGTTACTCAGGGACAGACACAGAATTGTTACTCAGGGACAGACACAGAATTGTTACTCAGGACACAGAATTGTTACTCAGGGCCACAGAATTGTTACTCAGGGACAGACACAGAATTGTTACTCAGGGACACAGAATTTACTCAGGGACACAGAATCGTTGAATTAAAGAGTATGTCAGACAACATGCAGAGGAGTGGCAGAGGAGGCAATGTTTCTTAGGAGCGAGCAGACGTGGCAGCAGAGGAATTGTTACTCAGGGTCGAGGCAGCACTATTCGCAGCCAGAGGCCAGTGCTCCCGGTGTCATCTAGGGTCGTGTCTCCACCGACAACCCTGCCGTCATCGATTGGTTGGCTTGGTCGTCTTCCTCTTTCCAGGTCACCTCTGACACCTACAGCCAACGGTCGGTGGGTACGTCAGACACAACCGTTAGTTGGCATGGCCCGGGACCAAGCCCACTGAAATCACGTGTCCTCACCTGCCCCTGTCCTTTGGTGTTCCCTCACCAAGCGAAGTATCGCATGCTGTGGGCTCAGCCCCACTGTTCAGTGAGGAAGAGCTAACAGAGGGCGGTCAGGAACGGGGGGGGAGACATCCGCCTCTTCAGCAGCCAGGCGAAGAAGTAGTGGCGAGGAGAGTGGCTCGGTAGCCGGTCTAGAGACAGGTCTGTCTCCTGACCCACACGCAGCCGAGGGGGCTAGTAGTGAGGCGGAGACCCTAATTGATGATGATGAGGCTGATCGCACTTGGGCAGCCTCGTCGTCATCAGGCTATTGCTTCCGCATCATCAGGAGAAGAGGGTGGCAGCTTGACAGCGAGCAAAACAGTCGGTGGGTTGTCTCCATCGCCACACTCTGCCATGTGCCACTTTCAGGTCTCCTCACACACTGCTGGTGTGTTCCATTTTTTGTCATAGGGTGCTGGCAGATTACGGGCCTCCCATAGCTGCTGCCAGGCCCCTAATCTGCCATGGGCCCCTGTACCGCCTCCTCATGCTGCTGCCAGGTCCACAGTGTCTCATGCCATGTGCCACTTTCAGGTCTCCTCACACTGCTGGTGTGTTCCATTTTTTGTCATAGGGTGCTGGCAGATTACGGGCCTCCCATAGCTGCTGCCAGGCCCCTAATCTGCCATGGGCCCCTATACCGCCTCCTCATGCTGCCTGCAAAGTCCAGAGTCTCTCATGGGTCCCTGTACGGCCTCCCATTGCTGCTGTCTCCATCGCCACACTCTGCCATGTGCCACTTTCAGGTCTCCTCACACACTGCTGGTGTGTTCAATTTTTTTGACATAGGGTGCTGGCAGATTACGGGCCTCCCATAGCTGCTGCCAGGCCCCTAATCTGCCATGGGCCCCCTATACCGCCTCCTCATGCTGCTGCTGCCAAGTCCAGAGTCTCTCATGGGTCCCTGTACGGCCTCCCATTGCTGCTGTCTCCATCGCCACACTCTGCCATGTGCCACTTTCAGGTCTCCTCACACACTGCTGGTGTGTTCCATTTTTTGACATAGGGTGCTGGCAGTTATTACGGGCCTCCCATAGCTGCTGCCAGGCCCCTAATCTGCCATGGGCCCCTATATACCGCCTCCTCATGCTGCTGCCAGGTCCAGAGTGTCTCATGGGTCCCTGTACGGCCTCCATTGCTGCTGTCTCCATCGCCACACTCTGCCATGTGCCACTTTCAGGTCTCCTCACACTGCTGGTGTGTTCCATTTTTTGTCATAGGGTGCTGGCAGATTACGGGCCTCCCATAGCTGCTGCCAGGCCCCTAATCTGCCATGGGCCCCTATACCGCCTCCTCATGCTGCTGCCAGGTCCAGAGTGTCTCATGGGTCCCTGTACGGCCTCCCATTGCTGCTGTCTCCATCGCCACACTCTGCCATGTGCCACTTTCAGGTCTCCTCCTCACACTGCTGGTGTGTTCAATTTTTTTGACATAGGGTGCTGGCAGATTACGGGCCTCCCATAGCTGCTGCCAGGCCCCTAATCTGCCATGGGCCCCTATATACCGCCCTCCTCATGCTGCTGCGAAGTCCAGAGTCTCTCATGGGTCCCTGTACGGCCTCCCATTGCTGCTGTCTCCATCGCCACACTCTGCCATGTGCCACTTTCAGGTCTCCTCACACACTGCTGGTGTGTTCCATTTTTTGACATAGGGTGCTGGCAGATTACGGGCCTCCCATAGCTGCTGCCAGGCCCCTAATCTGCCATGGGCCCCTATAGCGCCTCCTCATGCTGCTGCCAGGTCCAGAGTGTCTCATGGGTCCCTGTACGGCCTCCCATTGCTGCTGTCTCCATCGCCACACTCTGCCATGTGCCACTTTCAGGTCTCCTCACACACTGCTGGTGTGTTCCATTTTTTGTCATAGGGTGCTGGCAGATTACGGGCCTCCCATAGCTGCTGCCAGGCCCCTAATCTGCCATGGGCCCCTGTACCGCCTCCTCATGCTGCTGCCAGGTCCACAGTGTCTCATGGGTCCCTGCCATGTGCCACTTTCAGGTCTCCTCACACTGCTGGGTGTGTTCCATTTTTTGTCATAGGGTGCTGGCAGATTACGGCCTCCCATAGCTGCTGCCAGGCCCCTAATCTGCCATGGGCCCCTATAGCGCCTCCTCATGCTGCTGCCAGGTCCAGAGTGTCTCTCATGGGTCCCTGTACGGCCTCCCATTGCTGCTGTCTCCATCGCCACACTCTGCCATGTGCCACTTTCAGGTCTCCTCACACTGCTGGTGTGTTCCATTTTTTGTCATAGGGTGCTGGCAGATTACGGGCCTCCCATAGCTGCTGCCAGGCCCCTAATCTGCCATGGGCCCCTATACCGCCTCCTCATGCTGCTGCGAAGTCCAGAGTCTCTCATGGGTCCCTGTACGGCCTCCCATTGCTGCTGTCTCCATCGCCACACTCTGCCATGTGCCACTTTCAGGTCTCCTCACAAAACTGCTGGTGTGTTCAATTTTTTTGACATAGGGTGCTGGCAGATTACGGGCCTCCCATAGCTGCTGCCAGGCCCCTAATCTGCCATGGGCCCCTATACCGCCTCCTCATGCTGCTGCGAAGTCCAGAGTCTCTCATGGGTCCCTGTACGGCCTCCCATTGCTGCTGTCTCCATCGCCACACTCTGCCATGTGCCACTTTCAGGTCTCCTCACACTGCTGGTGTGTTCCATTTTTTGTCATAGGGTGCTGGCAGATTACGGGCCTCCCATAGCTGCTGCCAGGCCCCTAATCTGCCATGGGCCCCTATATACCGCCTCCTCATGCTGCTGCCAGGTCCAGAGTCTCTCATGGGTCCCTGTACGGCCTCCCATTGCTGCTGTCTCCATCGCCACACTCTGCCATGTGCCACTTTCAGGTCTCCTCACACTGCTGGTGTGTTCAATTTTTTGTCATAGGGTGCTGGCAGATTACGGGCCTCCTATAGCTGCTGCCAGGCCCCTAATCTGCCATGGGCCCCTATATACCGCCTCCTCATGCTGCTGCCAGGTCCAGAGTCTCTCATGGGTCCCTGTACGGCCTCCCATTGCTGCTGTCTCCATCGCCACACTCTGCCATGTGCCACTTTCAGGTCTCCTCACACACTGCTGGTGTGTTCAATTTTTTGTCATAGAGTGCTGGCAGATTACGGGCCTCCTATAGCTGCTGCCAGGCCCCTAATCTGCCATGGGCCCCTATACCGCCTCCTCATGCTGCTGCCAGGTCCACAGTCTCTCATGGGTCCCTGTACGGCCTCCCATTGCTGCTGTCTCCATCGCCACACTCTGCCATGTGCCACTTTCAGGTCTCCTCACACACTGCTGGTGTGTTGAATTTTTTGACATAGGGTGCTGGCAGATTACGGGCCTCCCATAGCTGCTGCCAGGCCCTAATCTGCCATGGGCCCCTATATACCGCCTCCTCATGCTGCTGCCAGGTCCAGAGTCTCTCATGGGTCCCTGTACGGCCTCCCATTGCTGCTGTCTCCATCGCCACACTCTGCCATGTGCCACTTTCAGGTCTCCTCACACTCCTGCTGGTTTCCATTTTGTCATAGGTTGCTGGCAGATTACAGGCCTCCCATAGGTGCTGCCAGGCCCCAAATCTGCCATGGGCCCCCGTACCGCCTCGTCACGCTGCTGCTGGGTCCACAGTGTGACATGGGTCCCTGTACCGCCTCCCATTGCTCCCACTCTGCCATGTGCCACTTTGAGGTCTCCTCACACTCCTGCTGGTTTCCATTTTGTCATAGGTTGCTGTATGGCCTCCCATTGCTGCTGCCTCCACCGCCACACTGTGGCTCCAAACACTGGTTTTGGCCCCCGTGACTGGCCAAATGAGTGAAGTGTGCGGTGATTCTAAGATCGACGGCACTCATCTGCATGTCATACTGACTGACAGTATTATTTCTCTTCCCCAGCAGACTCCAAGGGCATTTAAATTAAAGGTTCAGTGTTCTGCACTCATATTAAGTCTCTCTGAAGCCTAGAAAACACCCTTTTTTTAAGTTAAATTCACAGCGAATATATTCGACTCGAATCGAATATTTTCCACGAATTCGCCGAATCAGTCGAATCGAATTTTTGAATACTTCGCTCATCTCTAAACTTGGGGAATTTCCAGAACATATGAAGGAGGTGGCTGAGACCGGAGGTGGTTCTGCTGATGAACGTCTGGAAGCTGTGGGTGACCGAGACCTCCAACCCGTACTTTGTGCTGCAGAGGAGGCGGGGCTATGGGTAGGATGGAGGGGGGCTCACAGGTCTTCTTGTGAGAACTCAGTTTTAGATTCAACTGCTAAAGTCGCTCCATTCAGAAATCTTCACCAAACCCCTGACTCCCAGGTCTACTGGTCCATTGCTTGTGGCGCTAGCCGAGATGAGATTTTAAAGCACTGGCAGTGGCTGGAACAAAATGTTATGAAGACGTTGTCAGTATTTGACTCAAGTGATGACATCACCAGTTTTGTGCAAGGCAAAATCAGGAGCCCGTTTTAGAAGTGACCTGAGGCTTACCAATTGAGGGACCTTGAAGGGAACAGGAGCAGGAACCTGACCATACCTGGGAGTGATTGATCTGGCTGACCGGATGAGACAAAAGTGATCTCAAATGTGTGTTTATAGCGCACATCTGGTGAGTGCGCAATTCACTTATTTCCAGTCACATCATCTGTCACTCCTGATTTAGAGGAACTGAGCACCTTTAGCTGAGATCTGCTACGATCTTCAAGTTCATTGCTTGGACTTTTTCACATACTTGCCACTATAACCACTCATTTGTGGTCTTGTATGTTCTTTTGCACCTTATATTTATTGCAACTATGGCGTAATGTTGTGGCAGTATTTGCATGATTTGCACTTTATATGAATTAAAATATACTCATCTGTGGTCTTATATATTCTTTTGCACTTTATATTTATTGCATCTATGATGTAATGTTATGGGAGTATTTGCATGATTTGCACTTTATATAAATTAAGATATATTATTAATTTTATATATTAGCATTTCCTGCACATTTATTTAACAGCGCTGACCTGTCTTTTATGATCATATGAAGGAGGTCTGCTGGGGAACCTCCACATCTAGGGCAGTCCAAGCCCTCTCTACGATGCCATTGATATAACCGATATGGCGTTCGGTGTGCTCCATGTATAATAATAAAGGAACCATTGTGACAGTGAGAGACCCACTAGAGGAACCCCGGTCCAGAATATCCTGCCAAATTTTCTCACACAGGGAATCAATATCCTTAGCCCACCCTATCCTACCATGGAGTTGAATATTTCCAAGGGAATTGTTCAACAATTAATTGTATAAAGAGTCCCCTCTTGTTATTAGTAGATGCTAGGTGATCTATAAGCAGAGCGGACACCTGTCTAAGGGTAGTCTACCTAAATTGTACTGAAAGGGCATCCGAAGCTGGAGAAACTAAGAAAACCTCTGAACGGGGATACCACTTTCCTTTTGTAATTCTTGGAATTATTTCAAATGGTCACTTTCATAAAATTGATGAAGGAATTGAATGCCTCTAGCATACCAACTCTCAAAGTCCTGTAGCCTCTATAACCCTCCCAAACACCCTTTCTCCTATAAGTGTACTGTAGATGTAGAACAATGGTGGCAATATTGATTCCGTTTCCATCTGGTATCAGGAGTATAGGGGTTGTAAATTGGAATGTAAATAATCCTCTATCTTGGGGTGAACCCAGACTCCCAGATATTTAAATGCAGGCACTTTAATCTGCCTAGTGCAGTAAGAAAACACTATATTTTGAGAGTCCAAGGGAAGTAAAACTGATTTGTCCCAATATATCACAAATCCAGAAATGGACCTAAACCTAGTAATAGTGGACAGAAAAGACAGAAATTAATATGCATCCCCCAAAAACAGTAACGCATCGTCAGCATATAGGACTATTTTGTCCTCCCTGTCTCCCCTTCAAAATCCAACAATGGAAGCTAATTGACGAATAGTCACAATAAGTGGCTCAAATCGACAAAGCGAAGAGGAGAGGGGAGAGAGGCCATTCCTGACACATGCCCCGGAGAAGGAAGAAAGGAGCTGACTGGGACCCACTAATCAACATTGGGGTCTGGGGTGCAGAGTACAATAACTTCACCCAGCCCCCACACTAAAAAGATCCAAAACCTTCCAGATATAAGGCCACTCCACACTATCAAAGGCTTTGGCTGCATCCAATGGCTCTGCCTCCCATATTATATGAGGGTAGCTGCTGATTCAAGAAAGGCCTACATACAGTATGTAGATTGCAGTCGACCTAGTTGGTATAAACCCTGATTGGTCAGCGTGCACCAAAATGAAGTCACCTTTGATTTATTTGTTCATTGTGATCAAATCCCCTCCTAAGCGCTCTTCTCCAGAGCAATAACTGTAATCTATGTAATTGATCCTCATACCTGAGGTCCTTCTTCCCCCTTATTCATTTGTCTGCCCTTCGCTAAACTCTTTTTATTCAACATCTTTCACAAGGATTGGTGATGATGAAAACTGAATTGCAAATTCAAGATGAGTTTGAACCAGTGTTTTGTAAAGGGGTAGAACTTTTCAGGGCAACTTAACGAGTAGCTCTTTTCATTCAGTTCTCAGAAGCTGCTCAGCTGTCAGCTAATTACCAGCTACTCATAGTCTCCACAGTGATTCACCTGGATACCATTACCTGCTGCCTCATTAGTCCAGCCTACAGCCAGCTTTTTTTGCTCTTTTAGCAGCTTAGCTCATTACCTCCTTGCCCTTGTGTAGTCTATGATCTCCAGTGTGTTCCTGCCTGTGTTCCTGTGTACAATTCAGTCTGGCTGACTTCTCTTCCAATTCCTGTTCCTGATTTTGGCTCCTGACTATGCTGACTTCTGGATTCCTGACTCTGGCTCATCTGATAACCTGCTCTGGCATCCAAACCCTGGCTTCTGTTTTGACTATGATCCTGATCTATGTTATATTTGCTATTTCATTAAAGGTGTGGATTTAACTGCACTTTCTGTCTCTGCCTAATTCATGGTTCCTGACATTATGCAAGGGCCATGAATTCAGAAGATGCAGGCAATCCATCTAGTCGCAACATTTTATTCCAGACCAGACAAGCAGGACCATGGCTTGAATCAGTTTGCCATAGCATTGCAAACGCTCCCAATCCAAACTGCCCATCTGGATACTCCTATGCTGGCTGCTCCAGTACAATCAGTTTTGCATGCCATCCCTGCTGCTGCTCCTATCTCGGTTCAAGCACCCGTCTCTGATATTACCACTGTAAGAGGTATGACTGGTTCTGCTCTGCTTCCCCAGTGGTTTGAGGGTAATCAAGCTCACTGCAGAGGGTTTCTCAACCAGGTTGGAATATATTTTTGAGATGCTGCCTAGGCATTCCCTGCAAACAGAAGCAAAGTAGGCTTCATTATTTCTTTGCTTTCTGACAAAGCCTTGGCTTGGGCAAACCCTCTATTGGAGACACAAAAAACTTGTTGTCCAGAATTACCCTGAGTTTGTGGCCTTCTTTAAAAGGGTTTTTGATATTCCCACTCACTCCACTTCTGCTGCCCAGAGCCTCATGTCCATTAAATAGAGTACGGGAAATGTTGACTATTGAATTCAGTACTCTGGCATCAGAGGTTGTTTGGAACAATGAGGCTCTCATGGCTGCTTTTTCCCATGGCCTCTCTGATAACATTAAAGATGAGATTGCAGTTCAAGATATACCTAAGAATCTTGATTAGTTGATCTTGTTTGCCATTCTCATTGATACCAGACTTCAAGAGAGAACTTCCTTTAAGGAACGCTTGTGGAAACCTCCTGTGCATTTGGCTCCAAGCTTTGCATTCCCACCCATACCTCCCTCACCTCCCATGCCTCCTGGGCCCGAGTCCTCCAGTGAAGTAGAGTCCCTGCAGTTGGGCTTCACACATATCTCTGTCGAAGAGAGGGCCTTTAGGAGAAGGGAGAGATTGTGCCTTTACTGTGGCCAAGCAGGTAATGTATTGAAATCTTGTCCATCCATGCAGGAAATGCCCGCACCTGAGATCCTATAGGGGACAGACCTTAGGTGGCGTCTTTGTGTCCCCAGCTATTCCTAAGATAAGTCTCTAGTTTTGGTGCCCCTTTCCTGGTCTGAGTTTTCCATCAACACCCAGGCACTAATTGATTCTGGGGCTGCAGGCTTGTTCATAGATAGTGCCTTCATGTTGAGGTACTCGATACCGCTGCAGCCTAGTGCATCCCCACTTGCCATTGAGGCTATTGATGGAAGACCTCTACAGCCTGCCTATGTGACCCATGAAACCGCTCCATTGACCATGGCTGTAAGGGCTCTTCACCATAAGATAATACAATATCAAGTCATTTCCACACCTCATTCCCAGTTGTCGTTGGTTATCCATGGTTACAGAAGCACAATCCTTTGTTTGACTGGCATACAGCCAAGGTTCTGTCATGGTCGCCACAATGCACTAATACTTGTTTTCAGAAAGTGAGTAGGGTCTTGTGCATGTCTTCAGTTTTCCTCTTTGCTAGAGGAGTACCGGGAATTCTCTGATGTCTTTGACAAAGGTCAGGCCAGTATTTTGCCACCACATCAGCCCTATGACGGCACAACTGATCTTCAACCTGATGCCATTCTTTCTCATGGCTGGGTTTACCCTCTGTCTGTCTCAGAGGATAAGACTATGGAGGAGTATGTTGAGAATTCACTATCTCAGGGGTTCATCTGCAAATTTTCTGATCCCACTGATAACGCAATTATTTGACTACCTCAAGGGAGCAATAGTCTTCACTAAGCTCTGTTTAAGAAAGGCATACAATCTCATGAGGACTGAAGAGGGCGATGAATGGAAATCTGCATTTAGTACTAGGAGCAGACACTAAGAATACCTCATGATGCC